GAACCGCTCACTCTCACACATGCACGCAGGGTCACTTTCTTCAGGGCAGGACTAGGTAGACCTTCCCTGCATCAGTCCAGCACCATGCTCACCTCAGGGAAGTTTCCATAAAGGTGACTGAGTAGGCACCAGAAAGAAGGGTATGTGGCGGTGTTTCACTTGTCAGTGTGCAACGACCAACTGGAAGACCCTTAGGAGTTTCTGAACCCTCCAGAAAGAGTAACTGGGGCCAGCCAATGGGAAGCTGACAACCGCCATCATATCACACTGTCAAGACCACAGGCAGACATAACACCGATGGCTCTGACGGGTGGTGCCACAGCCCAGACGTGCCCTGGGATGGAAGGATAGTGGGGAATCAGAAGCAGCTGCTGCTTCTTGCATACTTGCCTCCTCACATACTTGCCACAGTTGCTCCCTGACCCCATCAGGACTGGCAACCCCAGAATGTTTCTTCTCACTGTAGAACAGTGCCCCTCTTCTCCAAACTGCTGATGCCACAAATTCCTTCCTCTTTTTTTCTAGACAGTCTTGCTGTCACTCAGGTTGGAGCACAGTGGCTCATATATTTTTCTTCACCGTACCCTCAAACTCCTAGGTATAAGCGATTATCCTGCCTCAGCTTCCTGAGTAGCTAAGACTCACAAGCACATGCCATCACACCCAGCTAATTTTTTTTTTTTTTTTTTTTTTTTGAGAGAGTCTCACTCTGTCACCTAGGCACAGTGGTGCAATCACAGCTCACTGCAGTCTTGATCTCCTGGGCTCAAGCAATTCTCCCATCTTGGCCTTACTGAGGGCTCATATTGTTCACCCAGCATTACAAGAAATGGATTAAAATGCTGATGCTGGCCGGGCAGATCACTTGAGGTCAAGAGTTCAAGACCAGCCTGTCCAACATGGTGAAACTCCATCTCTACTAAAAATGCAAAAATTAGCCGGGCGTGGTGGCTCACGCCTGTAATCCTAGCACTTTGGGAGGCTGAGGTGGGTGGATCACCTGAGGTCAGGAGTTCAAGACCAGTCTGGCCATCATGGTGAAACCCCATTTTAAAAGAAAAGAACAAAAATTAGCCAGGCATGGTGGCTCATGCCTGTAGTCCCAGCTACTCAGGAGACTGAGGCAGAACTGCTTGAACCCGGGAGACAGAGGTTGCAGTGAGCCTAGACTGAACCACTGCACTCTAGCTTGGGGGACAGAGCAAGACTACAAATATTTATAAATATATATATATATAATTTACACAAATAAATATATTTATAATAAATAAAACAAAATGCTGATGTTGTTTTAGTCATGCTCAAAGGCATAATCATTCAACAGCACATACTAAGTGAGAGCCACAGCACAAAGTACTCCTGGCCAGGCATCCAAAGCCCACCTGTCTCACCTCTGCTTCTTACAGTGCCTGGTAAGAAAGGGAGAGGGTTCCTGTGACCACAGCGGGTAGAGGTGAGGCAGTGGGGCAGATGCAAGGAGGGCATGGCACATGCAAGGCTGGGAGGTTCCACGTTTGTTGCGGGTGGGGGTGGTTGGGCAAGGAGGGTGGACTGTGAACAGCAAGCAGGGACAAGGGGCCTGGAAAGCTCTCTGCAGGCCAGGGCAGCCTCCTCAGGGGTAGATGTTATCACCTCCCTGTACAAGCCACCTGTACCTCTAGAGGCAGCAGGCCCTGGAGGCATATTTTTATTTAATCCATTTATTTAATAAACATTTAATGTTTAATAAATACTTAAATGTTCATTTACTTAATAAACATTAAAATAAGCACCCAAGACTCTCTCCTGTCCATCCAAGCAGAAAAGCAACCACATTAGGGATACTCTTCCAAAGGACACCGCCACAACCTCTCTAAAAATCTGCCCTTGGCTCATTGGCCACAGTGTACTTCAGTGCACACCACCCCCAGTGTGAGACTGCTCCCTTTTCCTGGCTGTTCTTGACTTCAGGGTTGGAAATTGCCTGAGAGCACAAATAGGTGGCTCCCCTTCTTTTCCCATGATTAGAAATGGCCCTGTAATAGGAGAATTACTACCACATTAGCATTTTACAAACCTCACTGGGCTAAGGACAGGCTTTGTTAGGGGTACGTTCAGGAGTTTTCACCTCACTCTCTGATATGAATTTTTTAGGCTCTCTACTTCTCATTATTATCACCTTGGTAACTAACACAGGGGTTGGTGACTCACACCTGTATTCTCAGCACTTTGGGAGGCCAAGGAGGAAGGATCACTTGAGGCCAGGAGTTTGAGACCAGCGTGGGCAACATAGCGAGACCCGGCCTCTACAAAAAATAAAAGTAAAAGATAAAATTAGCCGGGCATGGTGGCACATGCCTGTAGTCCCAGCTACTTGGGATAGTCCCAACTACTTGGGAGGCTGAGGCAGGATGATTGCTTGAGACCCCAATACTGAGGCTGCAGTGAGCTGTGATTGTGCTACTATATTCAGCTTGAGCAACAGAGCGAGATCCTGTCTCAAAAAAACAATAATAAAATTAAAATTAAAAATAAAAGGCCTAGGCCGGGCACAGTGGCTCATGCCTGTAATCCCAGCACTCTGGGAGGCTGAGGCAGGTGGATCACCTGAGGTTGAGAGTTCAAGACCAGCCTGATCAACATGGAGAAACCCCATCTCTATTAAATATACAAAAATTAGCCAAGTGTGGTGGCGCATGCCTGTAATCCTAGCTACTTGGGAGGCTGAGGAATGAGAATCGCTTAAACCCAGAAATGGAGGTTGCGATGAGCCAAGATTGTGCCATGGCACTCCAGCCTGGGCAACAAGAGCAAAACTCCATCTCAAAAAAAAAAAGAGACCCATTTCTCAAAAGATGGTATTTGTCTATTTCATTATTTTCTAAAGTTTCACTTTCACTAATTTGATCAAGTCTGTTTTTTTTTTTGAGACAAAGTTTCACTCTTGCTGCCCAGGCTGGAATGCAATGGTGCGATCTCGGCGCACCACAACCTCCACCTCCCGGGTTCAAGCGATTCTCCTGCCTCAGTCTCTGAGTAGCTGGGATTACAGACATGCAAGTCTGAATATTTTTAAATTTACTTAGTAGTTCTGATAAGTATTTCATTCATTTTTTTGTTTGTTTTTGAGATGGAGTTTCACTCTTGTTGACCAAGCTGGAGTGCAATGGTGTGACCTCAGCTCACTGCAACCTCTGCCTCCAGGGCTCAAGCAATTCTCCTGCCTCAGCCTCCCCGAGTAGCTGAGATTACAGGCATGCGCCACCACGCCCAGTTCATTGGCTGGGATAGTTTTGTATTTTTAGTAGACAGGGTTTCTCCATGTTGGTCAGACTGGTCTTGAACTCCCGACCTCAGGTGATCTGCCCACCTTGGCCTCCCAAAGCACTGGGACTACAGGTGTAAGCTACTGCGCCCAGTGTATTTCATTCTTTCCCCTTTCCTTTGGGTGCATTTCTGGCTCCTTAGCTAAACAATAATAAACTTCAGCTGAGATGAACTTGTTTCGCTAGTGAGAACATCAACAGTTATGTCTGCTTTACAAACTACAACTGTGGCCCTATCTTGACAGTTTTCATAAACAGGACGGCACATTACATTATATTTTATAAGCTGTCCAGCCCTAGGTTCTTGGTCTCTTTCTTGACCCAAATGCTCCTCAGAAGTTTTTTTTTTTTCTGCAAAATGTAGGCACTTAAAAACATACAACAGGCCAGGTGCAGCAGCTCACACTTGTAATCCTAGCACTTTGGGAGGCTGAGGTGGGCAGACTGCCTGAGTTTAGGAGTTTAAGACCAACCTGGGCAACAAGGTGAAACCCTATCTTTACTAAAATACAAAAAAATTAGCCACACGTGGTGGTGTACGCCTGTAGTCCCAGCTACTCAGGAGGCTGAGGCAGATGAATCACTTGAATCCAGGAGGTGGAGGCTGCAGTAAGCCAAGATTATGCCACTGTACTCCAGCCTGGATGACAAACTAGACCTGGTTACCAACCCCCTACACAAAAACAAAAACAAAAAAACCCACACAACAAAATAATTTTACCTTCTACTCTCACTATATTATCATTAGAGAAGAAAGCTTATAATATTTCCTTCCTTTTGTTCTTTTATTATTTTTTTTGAGACAGAGTCTCGCACTGCCACCAAGGCCATAGTGCAGTGTGGCGAGATCTCAGCTCACTGCAGTCTCCACCTCCTGGGTTCAAGCAATTCTCCTGGCTCAGCCTCCCGAGTAGCTGGGACTACAGGCACATGCCACCATGCCCAGCTAATTTTTTTGTAGTTTTAGTAGAGATGGGGTTTCACCATGTTGGCCAGGATGGTCTCCATCTCCCGACTTCGTGATCTGCCTGCCTGGGCCTCCCAAAGTGCTGGGATTATAGGTTTGAGCCACTGCGCCCAGCCCCTTTTGTTCTTAATGACAGTTTCTCTGCAACAGTGGATGTAAGCAGTATCTGTAATTTCCCTCTTCCTTTTCATAAAAATCCAGAGAGCTTCATTCTCACAGAATAAAATGTCAATGGTACCTTCCCTACCCAAGAAGGTATGCAATGCTGTAGCCTTCCATGGAATGTGCTAAAAAATATGTTTTTGTTATTACAGGTACCTGTCACTGTGCTTGACTAATTTTTGTATTTTTTTAGCATGTATAGGGCTTCACCATGTTGGCCAGGCTGGTCTCGAACTCCTGACCTCAGGTGATCCACCCGCTTTGGTCTCCCAAAGTGCTGGGATTACAGGTGTGAGCCACCGTGCCCAGCCTGAAACAGTTTCATCAGCCCCAAAAGAAAACCCACTTTCAGTAGTCACTTCCTATTCTCCTCCTCCTAGACCCTGACAATCACCTCTCTCTCTCTCAGTGGATCCACCCTAGTCTGAGCATCCCATATATAGCTGAACTTTATCTGTAGTACTTATGTTCTATAAACTTGCCATGAACATTGAATTAATGATACTGAATTACTGCTCCTAAGGGAAACAAAGGTTTAGGTTCAAACAAGCCTCGCTCACATTTTTGCCAAGTGATTAATATATATAACTTTGTTTTATGTGTATTTAAAAACATCTTATTTAATAGGTAACACTGATTCAATAGCACTGTAATTCATGCCCAAATGAAGCTTATCTAACACATGTATTTTCTCCAGAAGACATATCGTGACCTTCCTGTGCTCAGGAATACTAGACAGCACTTCAGCACCACATTTGGGAACCAAAGCAAAATCATCAACAAAAAGCACAAAATGCAAGAAGTGTGGCATTAGAGAGATAACTTGCTTCAGTAGAAAGCTGAAACAAGAAGGGAGGGCATCGCACTGCTGAACCACACAACCTCACTCAGCTGGAACACGTGCATGGGGTACTTCAATTTTTTTGCTGCTCTGCAGATGCACATGTCTGTGACTGACCACAAGTCCAGAGAGTACTGATTCTGGGGCTACAAAAAAACTTTAGCGAGTAGGCAAATTCGTAAACATAGACTCTGTAAACAATGAGGCTCAACAAGTGGAATCAAATGATATGTGGCCTTCTGTGGATGGTTCTTTCATTTAGCATATTTTCAGGGTTTATGTACTGTGAGACAGTACTTCATTGCTTTTTATGGCTAAATAATATTTCATTGTAGAGATATACCACATTTTGTTTATTCACTCACCAATGGATGGACATTTGGGCTCTTTCCACTTTTTGTCCATTGTGAATAACAGTGCTATGAACATCTGCGTGCAAGTTTTTACTGGGCATGTTTTCATTTCTCTTGGGTAGATATAGCTAGGAGTGGAATTGCTGGGTCATACGAGCATCTTTTCACATTACTATTTATTTCATTACACTTAATTTTCTGTACTTGTGGATGGCTAAAGTGAGCTAGAGATTGTGAATTGAGGAAGTCAAAGAACTTCAAGGCTGGATCTGAGAGAAGTCATAACTGGGAATGTTGACATTTCTAAGGACAAGAGTAGGAGACGAAAATCATAAGCAAGTGCTCTGGGGACAGAGAAAGAGCACTGGAAGATTACAGCAGGAGGGTGGCACAAGTGGCTTCTTCTTCCTTTTATTTTTTAGACAAAGTTTCACTCGTTGTCTAGGCTGGAGTACAATGATGTGATCTTGGCTCACTGCAACCTCTGCCTCCCGGGTTCAAGTGATTCTCCTGCCTCAGCCTCCCGAGTAGCATGCACTATCACACCCAGCTAATTTTGTATTTTTAGTAGAGACAGGATTTCTCCATGTTGGTCAGGCTGGTCTTGAACGCCCGACCTCAGGTGATCCGCCCGCCTCAGCCTCCCAAAAGTGCTGGGATTATAGGTGTAAGCCACTGTGCCTGACTTCCTTCTTCTTTTTTTTTTTTGTATAGAAGGGGTTTCACCATGTTGCCCAGGCTGGTCTCAAGTAATCTACCTGCCTTGGCCTCCCATAATGTTGGGATTACAGGCATGGGCCACTATGCCCGGCCTCAAGTGGCACTTTCACTTCCCATATTTAGGAAACAAATGAAGGAATAGTGAGGCATTTAAAAAGGCAGCTTTGCAGGGCAGTGGCGGTTCAAACAGCAGTCAGGAAATAGCACCAGAGAAACACGGATGCCCAACATATGAAGAATTGGGCAGGTGGGAGGAGTGGCATGTCCAGAAGAGCTGCCATTTGAGAAAAGCAGGCCCAAATGGTCCTGAGGAGCCAGCAAGGGAACTCAGCGTCCTTGCCTGCCTGTCTCGCCTCTGCCATCATGTCTCCCATCCTGCATGCCCTCTGCAGAGTTCCACTCCTCCCATATCAAGAGCTGAAGTCTATTTTCTCTCTCATTAAATCTGGACTTTCCTGACCAAAAGAATCCAGAAGAAGTGACACTGTACCAGTTCTGTGTCTTCATCCTGGAACCCTGAGACCACCTTGCTATGAAGCAGTCCAATCTAGCTTTGTGGAGAATAAAAGAACACAAAGAGAACCAAGGTACCTTAGCTAATACCGTTCCTACACATGTGCATGATGCCTGCCAGCATGTCCCAGCCAAGCTGAGCTCCCACCTCAATACAGCTACATGAGTGACTCCAGGAACAAACGGTGAGCTATAGAATCACGCAGCTGAGCCCAGCCAACCTCCAGGGTAAAAAATAATAAACTGGCGTTACTTAAAGCCACAAAGTTTTGACAGGGTTGTAATGCGGTAACAAGATAACAAACATGGGAATGTGACTGTCAAGTGCCAGGAACAACATTCTTGATGTATGTGAGGATGGAATCAAGGCCATGCCACAAACAATCTATATAATAATGTTCTAGGAAGGAATCCTCAACTGTCCCAAATCACAGAATAGCAATTCTGGTTCTGCCCATCATGGCACACAGAATAGCTCCTATACCAAAAATTTTACCTTAAAAATCCCAAGTCAATAGTATCTTTTACAAAAAAATAAAAAGTTGCCCCTAAGTTATTTGGCTCTTTGGGGGGGGGGGGAAGCAGACAGCCTGAAAAAGTAGAGCATTTTGGCAATGCACCTAGATAGGAAGGTAAAAAAGTGAATAATCCTGCCACAACCTTCTGCACAGCAGCCCCATGAGAAATGCAAGGCACTTGCATCCATCTCCTGAGAGCCTCCCTGGCCCTGGCCCCACCCTCTCAGTCTATAGGTAAGGGAGGAGTCCCAGAATTCTTCTTGGCCAGAGCCTGAGGTGCAGGGCTTTCCTGGACAGCCTGGCCTGGAAGGACTGCCACTCCCAGGCATGGTTTAACAGACACGACTCAGCAAGGACTCCAGGAATTAATGAACACTCTTGATCAAATGCAGCTATAGGTTTTCGACAGTGCTAGGAATCTGTATAGAAAGAAAACCAGGCCATGTGCACTGAGAACTGTGTCAAGCTTTTATAAACATCAGCTTATACACAAACAAGTATGAAGCCCACTGAAGACTATTCTGCCCTGACTGAACGTTTAGCACCCACTGCTTTCTTCTACTCAGTGTGGGAGTCAAATGGTGATTATTTATAACACGTGAGGCTCAATTTTTCTTGTGAAAGGCTTTCAACTTCACCTTCCAAGGCTTTTCTCAGTCACTGAAACACAGGACCTCCTCAATCCCTGTGCAGGTCAAAAGTTCAGCTGAGATGAGTTCCCATAGGGACTGGTGGGACCTCAGCCATACTCTCCATGCACCTGGTAAGGTAGAAGTTCTCTGGACTCTGTCTGATCTAGCATCAGAAGGAACCCATGAGCCCCTAGCCCAGAGCAGCACCCCCAAAAGAAACCCTCCACTTGCAGCCTCTCAAGTGCCAGCTTCATCCACTCTAATCTAAACAGAACTTATACTGGTTTAGGCACTTATAAGAAAGCCACCAAAAATACGAGATTAGGACTTCAAAAGAAAGTCTGGAATTAAATGAAAACTAGACACAGTCCGTAACAAACTCTAGTGACTTCTAGGGGACAAAAGGGAGGACAACCACAATCCTGACTCAAATACTCTTCCCAGAAGAATGAGCATGTGCATTTTCACACAGCCACACACAGACACGTGCATCACACACAGCCACTTTCAACTCCAGGGAATCTCAGGCCCACTAAGGCCAACCATGTGCCTTCATCTGGGAATACTGCCCTTGCATCTGTCTCTTTCCCTCCCCTCACATCACCCACTGAGCCACTAGGCTCTGGCTCATGCCTTTCCTATAGCCTGGAAGGCCTTCTCCAACCTCCCTTCTTCCTTCATGTCTGAGTCCAGGCACTAACTACTGTGTGAGGCCACCTTAAATCCCATTCTCCCTTCCCCTTGTAGACAGCCCCAGAGTCCTTCATTTCTTCCAGGAATCAGTGCCTGCACCCCTCTGCACCAGTAGCAAGCCACTGGGCTTGTCTGTCCACATGCATTCCCACTGGGGACAGCAGCCCAGGGCTGAGCACTGGAAGGGCTTCCTCAATCCCTGTACAGGTTAAAAGTTCAGCTGAGATGAGCCATTCCCACAAGGTCTGACAGGACCTCAGCTATATTTTGAGTGCACCTGGTAAGGTAGGAACAATTCTCTGGACTCTTGTCTGATGTGACATCAGAAGGGACCCATGAGCCCCACCCCAGAGCAGCATCCCCAAAGACCCACTCTGAGGAAGACACAGGCTCATGTCTTACCTTGGTCGGTTTTGGTTGCTGGCTTCCAGTTTTCAGCACTAATTACTGGGAGACAGACCTGCCCCTTTTCATCGATGTTCGGGTGATAGATCTTTGTTTTAAATGTGATCTTCGGTGGTTTGAATGGGTACTCTGCTGGAAAGTTGATTTCGATTCTGAAGGCCCCCTTATCATACGGAGGGTTGTCCTGGAAGGAAAGAGAGGAGATCAAAATGAACAAACCATGGTTCATAAACCTATAGCCAAGATAGGAATGTTTCAACTGTTTATCTAAAAAATCAATTTATTTCAAGGGATGTATCATCTGAAGCCCGGCCGCCTTCAGGACAATCCAGCAACCCATCAGTATTTCTAAAGCAAGATATCTGCTAAACTGAGAAAGGGCTTGAGATTGATGCCCTGGTCTCTTTATGCTTTTTAAAAATATATACTTTACTTTTTAGGATACCTTTATAGCAAAAGTGAGAGGGAAGGACAGAGAGTTCCTACATACTGCCTACCCCTATATACACACAGCCTTTCCCAGTATCAGCATCCCTCACCAGAGGGACAAATTTGTTACCACCAATGAAACTTTTACCTTAACACATCATTACCAAAGTCCCTAGAGTTCACACTTGGTGTTGCATATTCTATAGGTTTTGCGTGGTTATAAGATGTGATAGTTGGACTCATACAATATGTAGCTGCTATGTCTGATTGTATCTCCTGAAAATTCTCACGTTGAAACCTAATTACCAACGTGATGGCATTAGGAGTGAAGGCTATTGCGAAGTGATTAGGTCATGATGGGATTGGTGTCTTTATCAAAGAGGCCCCCGAGAACTGCCTTGCCCTTTCCATCACATAAAAACACAGTGAGGAAAAAAAGAAAAAAAAAAAAAGTGAAAAGAAAACAAAAAATTAAAAAAAAAAAAAACAACACACAGTGAGAAGGCAGCATCTATAAGCCACAAAGCAGGCTCTCAGTTGACACTGAATCTGTTGGTGCCTTGATCTCTGGACTTCCAGCCTCAATAACTGGAAATAAATTTGTTGTTACAAGCTATATCTTTTTTGTTTTGTTTTGTTTTTTGAAATGGAGTCTTGCTCTATTGCCCAGGCTGGAGTGCAGTGGCACTATCTCAGCTCACTGCAACCTCCACCTTCTGGGTTCAAGCAATTCTCCTGCCTCAGCCTCCTGGGTAGCTGAGATTACAGGTACTCACCACAAGGCCCGGCTAATTTTTGTATATATAGTAGAGACAGGGTTTCACCATGTTGGCCAGGCTGGTCTCGAATTCCTGACCTCAAGTAGATCTGCTTTCCTCAGCCTCCCAAAGTTCAGGATTTATAGGGGTGAGCCACTGTGCTCGGCACTACTTATTTTATTCCCCTCTTCTTTCTTTCCTTCTTTTTTTGAGACCGAGTTTTGCTCTTGTCACCTAGGCTGGAGTGCAATGGCACGATCTCGGCTCACCACAACTTCTGCCCCCTGGGTTCAAGCAATTCTCCTGCCTCGGCCTCCTGAGTAGCTGGGACTACAGGCACTCGCCACCATGCCCAGCTAATTTTTGTATTTTTAGTAGAGACAGGGTTTTACCATGTTGACCAGGATGGTCTCGATCTCTTGACCTCGAGGCCACCCACCTCGGCCTCCCAAAGTGCTGGGATTATAGGCGTGAGCCACCGCGCCTGGCCTTCCCCTCTTCTTTGTTTCTTATTTATTTTTGACAGGGTCTTGCTCTGTTGCCCACTGGAGTACAGTGGCACGATCTTGGCTCACTGCAACCTTGATTTCCCAGGCTCAAGCAGTCCTCCCACTTCAGCCTCCCAAGTAGCTGAGATTACAGACTGGCACCACCACGCCCAGCTAATTTTTTGTATTTTTGTAGAGACTGGGTTTCACTATGTTGTCCAGGCTGGTCTCAAACTCCTGGGCTCAAGAGATCTGCCTGTTTTGGCCTCCTCCTAAAGTCCTAGGATTACAGGTGTGAGCCACTGTACCCAGCCTCATTTCTTCTTAGTGTTGAATACTATTTGTCTAGATGTACTACAATTTATTTAACCATTAACCCACTGAAGGACATCTTGGTTGCTTTCAAACCTTGGCAATTAATAAGTAAAACTGTTATAAAATATCTGAGTGCCAGTTCTGTGTGGATACAAGTTTTCAACTAATTTGGGTAAATACCAAAGAATGTAATTGCTGGATCAAATGGTAAAAAGTATGTTTAGTTTTGTAAGAACCTGCCAAACTGGACCCAGTGCAGTGACTCATATCTGTAATCCGAGCACTTTGGGAGGCCAGGGAGGGAGAATCACTTGAGGCCGGGAGTTCAAGACCAGTTTCTGCAACGTAACAAGACTCCATCTCTACAAAAAAAAAAAAAAAAAAAGTTTAAATATATTAGTCTGGGCCAGGCGCAGTGGCGCACATCTGTAATCCCAGCACTTTGGGTGGATAAAATGGGTGGATAACTTGAGGCCAGAAGTTCAAGACCAGCCTGGCCAACATGGTGAAACCCCGTCTCTACCAAAAATACAAAAAATTTAGCTGAGCGTAGTGGTACACGCCTGTATTCCCAACTACTTGGGAGGCTGAGGCAGGAGAATCACATCTGGGAGGAGGAGGTTGCAGTGAACTGAGATTGCGACACTAAACTCCAGCCTAGGCAACAGAGCAAGACTCCAACTCAAAAAAAAAATAATAATAATAATAATAATAATAATAACATAATATTAGCCTGGCATAGTGGCGTGCGCCTGTAATCTCAGCTACTTGAGAGGGTAAGAAGGGTGGAATTCTTGGGCCCAGGAATTTGAGGATGTAGTGATCTATGATCACACTTATGCACTCAATTTTGGGCAAGAGTGAGACTCATTTTCTTTGTTAAAAAGTTTTTATGCATAAATAAATAAAAGAAACTGCCTGTCTTCCAAAATGGATAAACCATTTAGCATTCCCACCAGTAAAGAGTGAGAGTTCCTGTTGACCTACATCCTCAGGAGCATTTGGCAGTGTTCTGAATTTCGGCCATTCTAAGAGGTGCACGGTGTTATTTCTTGTTTGTTTTTTATTACAGAGTTTTAAGAGTTCTTTGTCCTTTTTCAGATTATGTTTTTACAAATACCTCTTGATCTTCTCTGAAGATATGAGAAAAGGCATACCAAAGGTAAGTTACAACCCAACCAGAATACACTGTGAGTACTAGAAGGCCAAATAATGGCCTGGATGCCAAGTCCTGGCCAGCTCAGACTTCCCAGGGTGGAGGCAGTAGTCAGCTCAATGGCTGGACACTGAGAAGCTGAGCTGGTCACTCAACAGGTGATGATCAGGCACAGCCAGCGTCATGCCTTAGCCCCTTCCCCCTAGAACCATCCAAAAGCCACCTTTGAGGCCTAGACACTCTGATGGACCCAGGAACCTGAGAGATGACCCAGCAAAGAGCCTTTTAACCTTTCTCCTATACTATCTCCAGAGCTGGGAAAGCCCTTCCCATTGTACTGCCTCTTCCTTGCACTCTGTTCTCAAAAGCCCCACCCAGGTCTGCCATGGCACAGCCAACCCAAAGAAAGCGAAGTTTCGCAGAGGGCCTAGGAACAATATTTTTTTGTTTTTGTTTTTGACACGGAGTCTCACTCTGTCGACTAGGCTGGAGTGCAGTGGTGAAATCTGAGCTCACTGCAACCTCCGCTTCCTGGATTCACACAATTCTCCTGTCTGAGCCTCCCAAGTAGCTGGGATTACAGGAACCCACCATCATGCCCGGACTTTTTTTTTTAGTAGAGACAGAGTTTCACTATGTTGACTAGGCTGGTCTTGAACTCCTGGGGTGATTTGCCTGCTTCAGCCTCCCAAAGTGGTGGGATTACAGGCATGAGCCACCGCCCCTGGCCCCAGGAACAATCTTGACAGCCCTACACCCCAGCCCAATGTCTTCAAGCCCTGGCCTAAGTAAGTACTCCAGTAAACAGAGCTCCTCTGTTGGGGAGCAAAGCTGACATACACCAGTTCTCCACATTCTCCTACATTTGAGCCCTGCCCTGGGAGGGAAGGCAAGGAGCAAGGGCCTCAAAGGATGGATAAGATGAAGTAAGGCTGAGGAGTGGGAGAGGCGTCCCAAGCAGAGAGGACTAAAGCCTAGATGGCAGGGACTTGGAAGGAATGGCACAGAGCAAGACAGGAGGTTGCAGGCAGGCAGCGTGGCCCCAGGGATACTGAGGCCACATGTCCAAGTCTAAACCAACCCCCTAAGCAGGTGAAAGCACTGTTGGCATATTCATCTGTGGGGAGACCTATTAGAAAGGTGGAGGAACTCTGGGCCGGTTAGAGAGGGAAGATACTTATGAACAGTCCAGGCCTAGTATGCCTGTGTGTGGAGGAGAAGATGCATGCACCCAGGCAAGGTTAGGATAAGACAAAACCTTCCCTAATGGCTGGGCATGGTAGCTCCCGCCTGTAACCCCAGCACTTTGGGAGGCTGAGGCAGGTGAATCACTTGAGGTCAGGAATTTGAGACCAGCCTGGCCAATATGGTGAAACCCCGTCTCTACTAAAAACCCAAAAATTGGCCAGGCATGCTGGCCCAGCTACTCGGGAGGCTGAGGCAGGAGAATTGCTTGAGCCTAGGAGGCGGAGGTTGCAGTGAGCCAAGATTACACCACTGCACTCCAGGCTGGGTGACAGAGCAAGACTCCGTTCTCAAAAAGCAAAACAAAACAAAACAAAAAAACACCTTCCCTAATGCCTCCTTCAGGAAACCCAAGAGCTGTCTACAACACTATACAGAAGTCAAAGTGATAGCAGACCCCTCTCAAGCCTCTCCACTCAGAAAAACTAGGCTGTATTGTTACCAATGAGTTAATGGGGGAACTGAGAAAACACTGCTTTTAGTTTTTCTTTCTTTGTTTTTTTTTTTGAGACAGGGTCTCATTCTGTCACCCAGGCTGGAGTACAGAGGTGCAATCATGGTTCATTGCAGCCTTGACATCTGGGCTTTAGCAATCCTCCCACCTCAGTCTCCTAATAAGTAGCTGGGACTACAGGCAAATGCCACCATGCTCAGCTAATTTTTTTATTTCTTGTAGGATGGGGTCTCACTATGTTGTCAAGGCTGGTCTCAAACTTCTGAGCCCAAGTGATCCTCCCGCCTCAGCCTCCCAAAGTGCTGGAGTGCTGGAATTATAGGAGTGATGTACCATGCC